TCAAAAACACCACATTTATAGTAAATAGGGTCTGGTGATTCTTGCGCCATGAACATTGGCCAGTAGCCTACATGAAGTAATACCTGTCATTCCAGAACTTGACAGTCATGAGCGTCACACGTCAGTGCCTAGTGTCAAAGTTTCTGAGTTGCATAACACGGACATGTTGTTGTCACTATGTTTTGTATAGCTTTTCACCGTGTTTTTGTTTGTTTTTCTCTCAGGTTGCATTTACAACAAGAATTTACCACCCAAATATTAACAGTAACGGCAGTATCTGTCTGGATATTCTCAGATCACAATGGTCTCCTGCGCTTACTATTTCTAAAGGTATGAGTACATCTGTTCATTAACACCCAACTTGTATAATTTACTTAGGCCCATATTTTTACCAGGTATTTATTTCCCTGCTTTTTGGATCAGCAAGACCTGTACTAATAATATTTAATGTCTACAGTTTGAGTTTAAAATTTAGAATATGGTAAACCATTTCTTTACCTTAAAATGCTAATATAAATCGTGTAAATAAATTGAAATGTCAAGGGAAATTAAACATTCCCTTTTGTGTTTAATTTTTTTTTAAAGCCATCTAAAATATAATAAACGTTAAAGAATGCTTAGCATCCATATGTTCCTTGCAGTTCTTCTCTCCATTTGCTCACTCCTATGTGACCCAAACCCCGATGACCCGCTAGTGCCAGAGATCGCACGAATCTACAAAACAGATAGTCAGAAGTAAGTATAAATATGTGTGGAAAAACTAACCTCTAAACATGTGAACTGACCAATTCTGTCTCCAAAAAGGAACATGAGAGTTTTATGGTGCTGTGTTTGCAAGAAGTGTTGCGGTTTCAAAGTTGCTGATTGCATTGATGTCAAATTCACCTTTATCTCTAGGGTATATTGTAAAACCTAGTTTTATCCTGTTAGGTACAATAAACTAGCACAGGAGTGGACAGTCAAGTATGCCATGCTTTAGGGTAAGGCCAAGAGCCATCACTGCATCTTGGCTAGTGCTAAGTGATCGGATATGTTGTGATGCTCTGCTCAGTACATAACTAGAGGCTTGGATCTGTTCTAAAGAGTGTGACTAAAATGAGCTGCTTGTACTAATCTTTGTCTCTACGAGCCGAATAACTTATTGACCCTGCACTGCTCTCAGGGTGTGGGTTTGGATTTTTATGTGCACCTTGATTTCCTGCAGTTGCACTCTCCTGCTGGAAATAAACAAGTTAACTGAAAATTTTTGCCTGTGGATATAATGGACACTTGAGTATTGTGGTGTACCGCTAACACAGGGCAGAGGAAAATCAAGATGTAATAGAAAAACCCTTTTAGTGTTCCATGAAATTCTAGTCTGGTAATAAGGAAGCACCTCCTTAACTCCCTATATAATTTATTTATTTATTTATTTTTTTCTTTGTAACCCCCACAAGTTTCATTCTTTGGTATGATTTCTAGCATCAACTTGTAGAGACTTGAGGACAATCCCTCAGTTAATCATGGGTTGCCTGCATTTGTCAGTTGCATTGTTCAACAGATGTCACAGCATTGTGGAAAAATGTTCACGGTGATGCATTTAAGGACACTGCAACAGCTGGCTGTCAAAAAAGGCTGAATTCATGAGCTTTAATGTCTAAAATTAAGGCAGGGCTGATAAACAAATGAAAAATGTGATATGATGGTTAGGTTTGTTAAGCGCGTTGCTAATTGGCCAGTATTTTCAAACATGTCAAAGGCTTCTATTTTATTTTTTCTCCTTTCTTCCCTTCCCTCTCCCCACACATGAACTCTGGACAGTGTGGAGAAAAATCAGGTTGTCTAAGTTGCCCTTTGTCATGTAGCACACAACAGGAAATGGTCTGCTTCAGATGCATTCTCGCTGCGGAAATACTCAATATGATTTAGACGGCGGTGCTTTGGGGTTGAGCGTGAAGGAGGCAGGACCCAACACCCACTCTATTCTCACAATTGCCCAATTGGACATCACACAGACTTTTACAGGGTTGACAATTTAATGTCTGTTTTGACAATGCGCCCTTTTTTCTTTCTTTTTTTTCTTTCTTTCTTTTTTTTTTATTTTATTTTATAAATTCCGTTCTTGCATTTGGCTTCTCAAGGTAATGTTGGAGTTTAGGGCTGCAGTGTGGTGTGAGAAAACTGCTTATGCAACAGTCTGCATCGGAAGTTATGTCACCAGCAGTATAACATGTCATGTTTATCAAATGATTTTACTGTACAGGATTATTCCCAAGTGAAGAACAATTTTTAGTATGAGATTAAAATGAATGGATACCAGTTCCTGCTTAGATCAGTGTAAATGTGGTTTGAAAAATGATTCGGAGGCTACACTATGGGGGGGATACGAATACAAATTTTAATTCAATGCTGGAACAAGAAATAAAACTTCCTAAAACCGGCGAGAAGCAAAGTAAGCTGAAACCATCCAAATGTAGTGTTAAAGTCCTTTTTATAATGGGATTAATTTAATCTGGGTATGAACATGGATATTGAGAGTAGTAATGATGGCTCGTCTCATCACTCGACAAAGTTCAAAAACAATATTGTTTTTGCATGCACACAGCTGCTAGTTCCAGCATGAAAAGGATTGTATACCCATCCCCCTCCAAAAAAAGTTCTGTTGCTTCAGACTTGGTCTTTTAAACATCTTATTTCTGTGCTAATCTGGACGTGATCAGTTAGGGCGCTAACTTGGCATGGCCTTCAAAAAAAAAAAATAGCAGTGTTTTCAGGTGCATGAAGAAATCCTGCTGATATTTTGGGTATGACTTGAAGACAGGAATTTTTGTATTAAATAGGTGAAGTTAATGTTTGCCCCCCTTTTTTTCTTTGCAGATACACCAAAATGGCAAAAGAATGGACACAAAAATACGCAATGTGATGGGATCGTTTGGAACGCTGGTGAAAATGTGGTTGCTGGTTCAAACTTAAAATTTTGGGATTCTGTTTTACTTTTTCACTTTATTATTATTATTTTTTTTTGTTTTTCTTTTGTTTCAATTTTTCTTTTTGGTTAATCAGAGCATTTTACCCCTCCTTTTCCCACCTGCGCGCTCATAAGAAGATAGTGTTTTCTCTCTAGGACTTGTGCCAGTTTCTGTAAAGTTTCGACTCCTGTTTTTATACAGAGTTCAAATTTTAAAAAATGTATATAAATCACGAAAACTATCGTGGTCTATAGACTCGGCTTGAGCATGCACCGGTAAGAGTTTTCAACCCAAAATTGGTGATGATAGTCATTTACTCTGCACACACTTGGTAGAATCTGATGCAGCTGGTCTCCTCATGCTGAGCAGCATCAACCCTACGCTGATCCACTTGTAGACAGGCTGGATCCTCTGGGGTTGATACTTCGTCACAGGCCGGGCTTCTTTGAGCATTTGGGGCAAAGTCTGTGTTTTGCCATTGTTGTAAATTTTGAATTCTCAAATTGGCGGTATTCTGCTGCACTTAAGGAAAAAAAACAAATATAAATCTGTGACAATGAAGAAACTGTTTTGTGGACCCTGTCTGCCTCCAAGGACCGGTGCGATGTCAGTTTGTTCTTCTGATGCATAGTAAATGAAGTTTATTATCTGAGGAAAGAAGTGTATCTTATTCCACTATCAAAGTGTGTACAGAGAAGCACAGCAGTATATATCAATGTTAAAGAAACCAATGTAAGAACTTCAATGTTGTATTTTATGCATGTTAATAAAGGTAGGCTATATTATCTGATATGTTTCTGCAAATTAAGTGGATTGTAAGGTTGAACAGTTGGAAAAAATTTGGTTCCCCTCAAAGGCTTTCTACTTCTTTTTGTTATTTAGAAGCCAGTAGTTGAGCTCTTAGTTTTACACCCACTCGAACACTGTCTTCTTGTAGCCCTAAAAATATGATGCAAAGCTGATGGTTGATAATCAACTTGTCGCTCTGTTTCTTTTTAGTTTCCCTTCAATAAAGTTACTTAAACCATAAAACAACCAGTGTGATGTTTTGTAGTTTTCATTTGAGGCATTTAAAAAAAAATCCCCTGAACACTGCTAGACTTTGAAGACTATGCTGAAGTCTTGTCTTCAGTAAAACCATCTGTACCATGTTTTAAGTACTGTATTGTGTGTATGTAACTAAGACGCCTCTTGGTGGTGTGTGGGTTGTGTGTGTGTGTGTGTGTGTGTGTGCGTTTGTCATTTCTTTAACTAGTCTTCAGGAATACCTCATGAGGGACATTAAAGCTCTATGCATGTTTGCTAGTTTTTGTTCCTTCTCTCAGGATAATCCCACATTGCTTCAATAATGACATCTGCGTTCTGGGAGGGCAATCCATTACTGATGGTGTTATAATGGCTTGGTGACTACTCTTCCAGTGAGACCTTTTCTGATGACCCATTAATGAACAATAGATAACTGAAGGATCATAATTTAAAAGATCCCTGAGTTAGGTGCCTTTTTTTTTTTTTTAAATAAATACATGAATGATTCGTATGTCAGTGTTAAGTGTTTTAACAAAAAAATATAGTTTTACAATGACTGAGCTAAGAATGAGTGAAAAGGCAGCAAATGTCCAAAGGAAAACTTCAAAGGACCTTCAGAAAGTCTGGCTCTGGAAATGTAAAGAAACAAAGGGTGACTCAAACTTTTTCACAATACTGTATATTGTAATATGCTTAGAAATATTGCCTCCTAAGAGACCTACTAAATATAAAGGTTTTCTCTGACTTCCATTTTGCTTGAGTAGTTTTCGATAATTGCTTACCATGTCGGTAAATGTATACACACCCTTGTGTTTAGAAATGCAAAACACTCCCTTATTTGGCCCCTCTAAAATAAGTACATATGTTTGTTGATTAGGAAATTATGCTTTAAAAAATCTAATTCATCTTTAAAATATATTTTTATATTAAACCTGTAGCAGGATTTTGTTGAAAGGTGAGTTAGAAAAAAGCTTCTCTTTTTCGCGCCTGAGCTTCCTGCCTGCGAACAGCTGACTACCACGAGCAGGTCACGTGACAAACACGGAAGCCCAGTATCGGTAAACGAAGTTAAAACGAAAAGAGTACACAATTATGGAGGCTTGAGTGAACTCTCCGTGCCTACAACGAGATCTAAACTATGCTGCTGCATGTGCGCCTCTCTGGCTGGGCCTGCTGGTGTTTGTTTTCCGGTGTTTTCTCGGTATTTTCTCTGCAGCAGCGTCTCACTGTGAACCTGAACGGCAAATGGAGGCTGTCAAACTCCAACGGTTCATTGTTACTGCCTGCACAGGTCCCAGGCTGTGTCCACTCAGCTCTGCAGCAGCAGGGATACATCACGGTAAGACGACTCACTTCATGGTGTTAATTTGTAGTCTTTAATCTTTCATTTATGTGCATTTAAGTAATGCATTTTTAACTGATCCCTACAAATTTTATTCCATGTAGTCATTTATCAAATGTTTAGATTGTATGTAAAATATATTAGATCAGACAGCCTGCGTGGGTGCAAAGAGTGAAAGACATATACAGGTGAGACTAAAGGTTAATCCCAGTTCCAAGAAGGAAACAAATGTCAAAACTCTGAGAATATGTCTGCTGTTTGAAGTATTTACTGCAAGGAGCTATCAGGTTTGTGATAGATGACAAACGGTGTTGAGCAATAGTTATCCAGGCTTTCTGAAGGTGAGTCGGTGAGTCCTTGATCCCGACCATTTTAAGAAGAATGCTTTTGTTCGTTTGTTCATTTATTAAAGCTCTTAACACTGATCTATGCATAAAATGATTCAAGTATAAAGCAACTCAAGTATAAAACGGGGATCTAACTGCAGGGAAAAAAAGCAATTTTCTTTCTACACATAAAAACCTAGAATATAACCCATTCTTATATCAAGAAGGTGATTCCCAAAGAGCTAATAGCTGACAACATGGCATATCAGCATGATGTGCAAGGTGTCTTTAAAAAAATTGAGGAAAGTGGAAAAGTGAAGGACAAATACAAAAGTGACAGGCCCACTAAACTACTTACAGTGGGTGAACAGTATCTGAAAGGTATGAAGAAATCCAGCTGGCCCTTCAGCTGATCCAGCTTCTGTTCATTGAAACCTGATCAGAAGGTCTCTGTGGACAGGTTGCTGTCAAGAACCCATTCATAAGGAAGGGAAGCCAAGAGAAAAGATTGGAGTATGCCGAGTTATACAAGAGCTGGACTGGAAAAACATACAGTGGAACACCCCTTAAACACATTATGCACTGACATAAAATGTACTGCATGTGCTGGTAAAACATTTGACAGCCAAAAACTAAGAGGACTAGCATTTGTCATTCCTGGTAGATAAACCTTTTCCTTTTTTGTCTTTCAGGACCCGTATTTCAGGTTCAACGATGTCTCTTATCGATGGATTGCGCTCGACAACTGGACATACACAACCACATTTACATTGTCTGCTGAGCTGAGGTCACTATACCTGTATAGGTCATAATCTAGAGACTCCTTGTGCTCTCTGTCTAACTAATCTGTGTAATCTCTTGATAGCGTCAAGCAGAAGGTGCTTCTTGTGTTTGATGGCGTGGACACCGTTGGGTCGGTTTCACTCAATGGGATTGCTGTTGGAAAGACCAACAACATGTTTTGTCGGCATGTATGTTTAACTTGAAACAAGCACACAGTACCGCCCCACATGTTCTTGCACATGTATCACCCGTGTGCTGTGCTTCTTTGGTGTGTAGGACTTTTCTGTGAAAGACTTGCTGAAAGACGGCGAAAATGTTCTGCAAGTTGGTTTGCTGTCACCGATTCTTTACGCGTCTGAGCAGAGGAAAGCTCACACGTCTTACGCAGTTCCTCCTGAATGTCCTCCAGGTGTCCAAAAAGGGGAATGCCATGTCAATTTTATCAGAAAAGTAAGTCCCTCCCTTCTAGAAAATAAACTGGTAAAAACAGAGAATGAATACCTTCAAACATAACGGCAAACCCTTTATAATTAAAGCTTAAAGTCTGCCCTTCCATGGCATTGTGAAAGGTTGACTTTAAAATCCACTGCGGTGGATGACATGAGCCAATATGTATGGACCTGTAACTGTGCCTGAACAAAAATAAACCGCAGTGTCTGTGTTGGTCCAGGAGCAGAGCTCTTTCAGTTGGGACTGGGGACCTTCGTTCCCCACGATGGGACTGTGGAAAGGCGTTCGACTCGAGGCTTTTGATATTCTGCAGCTCGTCCAGGTTTCCTCTGTCCCTCTCTACAGTACGTCCCATCTAATCTTGATCACCAACCTTTTCTTGGGGATAAATGGATAGTCAAACTGGGGGCAATTTCAGATATAAGGAGAATTTTATAAAGCCTTAGTGTCTCTCCTCTGATAGAGAGTGGTACATTATTTATCGATTGCATAAGAGCAGTTGTGTAAGACGCAGGCACTCAACACAAAAAGGAATTTTATTTATTTATTTGTTGCGAGCTGCACTGGATTTAGATTTTTGGAGTTCAGTGTTCTGTTGTGACTTCCTCAGGAAGGATCTTGGGCTATTTTCCAGAAAGTTCTGAGAATCTTCGCGATAAAGCGCCCTCTCTTACTTATTCCAGTATTTCCTGTGTCTTTTTATGAATAATCTATCTGTCCAGATGATGCCTTCTCCCAGTGGAGGGTGCAGGTTGAGCTTCTTATAGATGCAGTTCAGACAGCACGTGGCCAGCTCACACTCTCCATACCTGAACTGGATTCAGAGCAAACCTTCCAGACACACTTTAACCCTGGAAAGACCAAGAGCAACTTCACCATACTCATCAACACGGTGCTTGAAATGACTCCAGTCTCATTGTTGTGTGTAATATCAATTACCCGTCCACGCTCATGCTTTATTTTTTTTCTTCATTCAGGCCAGTCAGGTGAAACTATGGTGGCCAAATGGACATGGAGAACAACCGTATTACCGTCTCACTATCAGAGGATTTCAGGATGAGTTTTTAATTTTCAGCACAGAGTCTAAGGTGAGAGTGTGCTGCCTGTCAGCACATGCAGTCTCCTCATTTTTTATTTATGGATTTTAATCACAGTGCAATTTATCGTAGCCTCCAAGTCTGACAACTGAAGACAATGCAGATAACTTAAACTTGTAATGTTTTTAAAGGCCAGCATCGAGTGGCATCTTACGGTTACAAGACAAAGTTTGGTTCTGTAGAAATGACCCTACTTCTCACATGGTTTATGACTTTATTGAAGAATAAAGTCATAAATAT